AAAATGTCGAGCGAAGACTACTCCAACATCCCCACCCCCGAAGCCGCCTACGCAGACTTCTGCCTCATCCCCGTCGGCACAGGCAGCGTCTCCGTCGCCAACGAGGTCGCCCAGGTCCAGCGCCTGCTCAAGGCGAGCGGGCTCAAGTACACCATGCACTCGGCCGGCACCACCGTCGGTACGTTTTTTTTTCGGACTCTTTATCTACCTAACCCTCTTCCCTCGCACTTCCCCTCTTAGCTTTTGAACTATCGTGTTGCGCGAGGGCGTGGAAAGCTCATGAGATTCGTCCCCCACCCCCCCCCCCCCTCTGCTTCGGTACGGGATTCAACTACATCAAGAGCCATATAGGACACTGCTGACATGCATAATCCGTTCCTCCTCCGCAGAGGGAAGCTGGGACGACGTCTTCCGCGTCATCGGACAAGCGCACTCTCTCGTCCACCAGAGCGGCGTCGTGCGGATCCAGTCTTCGATGCGCGTCGGCTCGAGGTTTGTCTACCTGAAATGAAATTTTACTTCACACGACAAAAGAACGCAAAGTCGTCATATGGATAAATGTTTGAGTGGCTGATGATGGTTATTCTCTCTTGCGCAGAACGGACAAGAAGCAGTCTGCCGCCGACAAGGTGGCGCGGGTGGAGGGCATCCTGGCGCAAGACAAGTAACTGTTGTTCTTGTCTTTGAAAAGATGTGTTGGTGGTATGAGATGGGTCGCGGTGCATGCACAAGACAGAAATGTTGACAGCTTATTAGGTTATGATTTGACACGAGATATACTATTTGATCTACCCCGCCGCCGTCGCCGCCTTTCATGATGGTACATGTATACATCTCAGCCTTCGTAGATTGTAATATTGACACCGCCGACCCTCCTTGGACCCCCTAGACCGCCCTCGGCCTTTTTCCCCTCCAGTTTAAAAGACATTGATGAAGGGTAGCAACTTTTTAAGAGCTTCCGCTAAGGGAAGCATTTCAAACACTGCTTTAACCGCGCATGGTCTGCTTCTTCATGCTCTTCTTGAGGTCGCGCTCACGCTCCCTCTCGAGGTACTTCTTCTGGGCCTTGGCGTCCAGAGCGCTGAGCTCAGCGTCACGCTTAGCCTTCTTCTGCTTCTCGCGCTCGAGGGTGCGCTCCTCGGCCTTCTCAGCCTCGGCAGCCTTCTTGAGCTGGGCAATGGTCTCCTCGCGCACGCTGCGGACCTTGCGCAGGACCTCGGGGCGGAAGTGCGCACCCGAGACGAGGGCGTCGGGAATACGGACAAAGTATTCGAAGAGGGGCAACAGGGATTCGTAGTTGTTGCTCGAGGGGATGCGGTAGCGGAGGAAGACGCGCTTGCGGGGGGTGGTCTCCTCGATGCTATTACACTGTTAGTAATGAACATGAACCACAAATTGCGGTTGAAACTCACGTGCTGGGGCGCTCAATGGGCTGGTCAGAGACGATAAGGTAGTCAAACGCGTCGCCGGCAGCCTCAACGGCCTTGATGAGCTCAGGGGTCAACAGTTGCTCGGTAATCTCGGCGCTCTCGCTCATGACGGTAACCCAGTTGGGAAGCTTGGCATTGTCCTTGGTGAAGGTGATGGAGACATCGTAGCGATCGTCGCGAACCTGCTTCATGCGCTCCTTGGAGACGATGGCCCAGACAAAGTTATCGTACGTGCTCTTATTCTCCTTGCTGCGCAGCTCGTGGGTGCCGGGGATCGCGGGGACAGTGAGGCTCTCCTTGCCGTCAAAGGGGTAGATGACAGCTTCGACAGAGTCGTGGGGGGCCTCAACAGTATCCATGAAGAAGCTGGTGACGGCCTCGATGATGCTGAGGAACGGGTTGAAGCGCTTGGTCAGCGTCAACTTGACGTCCATGAAGGCGACATTCTGGCGACCGGTTCCGTAGCTGGCAAACTCAAAGAGAGACTTCTCGCGCAGCAGACCCGTAGGGTCCTTGGGGTCGGTGTCGGTCGTGGAACGCGGGGAGAAGCCGACGGAGGCGAACTCGGACTTGAGCACCGGCGCGTGGGCGGTGGCCCAGGACTTGGCCTTCTTGCGGTTGAGGCGCGAGCCAATGATGTGCAGGAGAAAAATGACGGCGCTGACGGCGAGGATGGCGCCCTCGAGCTTGAACTCGCTGAGGGAGTGGCGCTCGTGGATGTTGTACCACTTCGTGAAGGGACGTCCCGTGGCCTCGGGCGCGCCGCCGAGCGTCGTGCTGCCAGGGGCAGCCGTGAAGGCGCTGGGCACCGGCGACGGATCAGCAGCACCGGCGAAGTCTGCAAAGTCTATACGCGAGAGATAATTGCGTCAGTATAATGAGGTTGTGGATTTTGTGGGTGCTGAGGGGAAACTGGAAGCTTTGACGGCACGGGGGGTTCGGTTTAGGGGGCAGGGGAATTGAGTCTCGAGAGAAGCATACCGGAATCACCGCTAGGAATTGGGGATGCAGAGGGCTTGGAGCCTCCAAAGAGGCCGTTGAGGATGGCGGCCATGGTTGCGGTCGGAGGAGGGATGGCTGGCTGGCTGCGGTGGTGTCGAGATCCAAGACTGCAGACAGTGAAGCTGCGTACTTGTGAGGAGGTATCGCCAACCAGAAGGCGAAATTAGGCCAGTCGTCAAGCTGTCGTCAGCCAGTCACATCGCTTTCCTGGGAGCTGGGGCACAGTGACGTTTCTCCACTTATTCATCTGAATGCGGTCGACCGTCGTAGAACCCAGCAGCGTGGGTTCAGTGTCTCGTGCCCGGCCCGGGGGACCTTTAGCGGCCCCGGGATAACGTATCTTCCGCTCAAGCTCTGGTTGTCCGGACGACGCGCCCGGAATGTCAATAGTGGCCAACGTCAGTCACGGCGACATCATGCAATAAAGCGTCAAAAGTAGTAGCACTCAACTCAACAAATCAACCCTGTATGGACTCAAGAAGAAGAAGATAAAATGGTGCGAACAACGGCAGCTCGCACTTACGGCAAGACCTCTACAAAGGCAAAAGCAAGGCGACTGTTTGCTGAACTTCCACAAACCCCGATTCGGAAACCCAATGCGATAGTCGCACTGGACTCCGAAGATGACTCCATCATCAAGATTACCGAGGATCTGGATGCTCTTGGGATCAACTTAGAATCCTATTCCTCTGAAGATGAGCTATCAAAAGACTTCAGCGAAGTTGTTGTTGCATCTCCGCCAGCACCACGCAAACCGGAGACTCCCCCGAGGGCGGTGAAACAAACCCCAAGGACCGCCAAAACCACAAAGAGGATAGCCAAAGGGACGCTTCCTACACCTGTATCAAAGGCCGAAACGCCCAAAGTCAAAGCCCAAGAAGTGCCAGCAGGGCCACAGCCTGACTATCGCATTCTTACTTGGGAGGATGTATGCCCACCCGGAGATACAATCGAAAAGATCGCCGAGGCTTCCTATGCAGAAGTTTACCGCGTTCGAAATGAGCGTGGTACAAGCATCATCAAGTGCATCCGTCTTGAGTCGCCCATTAAGGCACAGACTAAGGCTCAGGAGCGTTCTGGACTGGTTGACGAAGAGCCCCACTCAGAAGACGATATGCGTGGTGAACTGAGCATATCCGAGTGGCTCGCCGACATTCCCGGTTTCGTCATTTACAAAGAGCGCTACCTTGTGAAAGGAAAAGCACCAAAGTGCTTGCTTGAAACACACCAAAGCTTTCATCGGAAGATGAAGCGCAAGGACCCGGACAGGCTGCAGTTCTACCCCAGCCCGAGTCGCTATCTCAGCGAGACCACTTTCCTGGTGGTAGAGCTGGGTGATGCAGGAACCGCGCTGGAAGACTTCGAGCTGACGGACTCCGGTCAGCTGTGGGATATCTTCTTTCATGTGGCAATCGCACTGGCTAGGGCGGAAGATCTAGCTTGCTTTGAGGTATGTTGGAACGCCATTGAAGCGACTGACAGAACGGCGTGAGCTAACAACATCAGCACCGCGATCTGCATGAGGGCAACCTTTGCATCCGAAGGTCAGAAGACCCAAAAACGCGTAATTCGAAGAAAGCAGGGCCGTACTTTGGCTACTCGGGCCTTGACATTACGATTCTGGACTATGGTCTCTCCCGCGCCGAGGATCTTGAATTGGAGGAATCTGAGCCTATTGCACTCGATCTTGAGAAGGACCTCAGCATCTTCACCAGCACCCACGCCCCACAATGCAAGGTCTATCGCCAAATGCGATCCTTTCTTATACGCGGCGAGCGTGGGCATCTGCCACCGTCCGCCCACAATTCACCTTATTGCAAAGGGGTAGATGGCGAACCCCTGTCATGGGACGTATTCGTGCCGTACACCAACGTCTTGTGGCTGGCATATCTCTACCAGTACATGATCAAGGGGTTCCAGGGCGACAAGAAGGAGCTGGCAGCGTTCAAGAAGGTCACGAAAGAGTTGTGGAAATACCTCGATCCCGAAGCCAAGGCTGGAACGCCGGCATTTGGGACTTCTGCCGAGGTTGTGAGGTTCGCGGTGGAAGCCGGCTGGATAGACGAATCACAGCTGATGGGGGACATTGAAGAGGACAGGGAGGAGAGCATCATTCTTTCCAGAGAGGAGGTGCAGGAACTGGGTCTGCGACGATCACCGAGAAAGCTGCGGTGATCTTGAAGAGGGTTGAGTACGAGCTTGTTTTGGACTTACGGCGCACGGCATACCAAGGGGCATCGGGAGCTGGAGCATTGCATATGGGCACTAGGCGAAACGGCGGGTACAAGATGCATGCATAGATGATTGCAAATACCCAATTGATATTCTTCGACAAAGTCATTCAGTAACGCGAAGCAAATATGGATTTACTCAAAGAGCCCTTCCCCCAAATCCAAAGAAGGTCCACAGTCAAACAGTCCAACCTACGCATTCCTGACAAGACTCCCACGGTACGGTCGTGTACTTGAACAGTCCGTCTGAACGAGTCCCATCTCCCAAACAACCACCTTAGCTGACACTTTCTTCTTCCTACTTTTTTTTGCTTCTCGGTGCTTCGTACTCTGCTCGTCACGCTCGCATACTCGTAAAAATTCGACCAAGAAAACGCTTCTTGGGAATGGCATGTTCTTCCGCGGATACCTCTTGGGTACTATATTTGCCTGAAGGAGAAGATGGCCCTTCGGGGTCACCAGCAAGCTCAAATTCGTTCCCTCGAAGCGTGACTTGCAATTTCTTCGAAGTCTTCTGAAGAATAGCTGCCGGCTGGAGACCATCGCTTAAGGCTTCGCGGCACTCATTACTGAGGACGACAAGGCTTGCCAAAGCCGAATCCTTTACGTCGGCCGGGATGTAGACATTCTCCGGTCCTCGTTTTCGATATGCTGCACTCTGGGCAGCAATTATGATGGTAAGTAAGAGTGTTGCTGCAGTAATCTCGACGGCGAGGAAAGAAATCCAACCCCAACTTATATGGACAAATGACACCTCCTTTAGAGGGGTTCCCTCGATAACGACCACGCCTGGTCTCTCATCTTGGTGATGAGTGGTTCGTAGCCTGTCAAACTTGGTCAGATAAGTTGTATAAAGACAAGGAAAAGAACTTACGCAGATGAAATGCTAGTAGCCATATTTGTGAGAAAGTTGCCGAGATAGATCGCTCGCTGTGTGGAGTTGAAGATAGTCTGGTTGGTGTAGAGCACATCATCGAGCCAGGCCAGGGCAAAGTTACCAACCCAAAAGAAGCCATCTGATTCAAGGTGCGCAAGGCTCAATTCTGCTTCTCCTTGCAGCACCCAGGATAAACCCTCGACCATACACCACATGGACGCGTATGAGGCGCTAAACCTCCTTGTTCCAGCATTCGGGGGTGTGATTTGAGCAACCAAGCCGTCTGTTTCTTTCGCCAGTCCGCACATACGATTTCCTTCCTCCGAAACTATACACTTGGGACCCATGATGATTCCTTTGCTTGGGTCATCTATTTGCGATATAGTATTGGTTATCGTGGTCTGTTCAACCCCCTTATGAACCTTTGTTTCGAATGTCTGAACGCAGAGATGGAACATGACCTCGACTGCCTCGTATTCAAAGTCCGTAATCGAGTAGTACATATCTTCGGCACCGTCTGGCTGACTCGGAAGATGCAAGATTTTGTCAGGCCGTAGCGGAGAAGTGTAGATGAAGAAGTACGAGCTGATTCTGGTTTTGAGAAGCCTTGTTCTGTTTGAGAAGCCGAAGGTATCGGACCCCTCAAGCAAGTCGCCTTTGAAAACTAATGAGCTTTGGTGCAAGAGCCCATATTTGCTCGACAGGCTGATGTTCCATGTCTTTCGACCGAGAGTCAGTCTCCCATTACCGCCCGCGATCAAGTCCGACGTCAAGTTATTTATCGGCTCAACGCGAAGTTTAGAAGTTATGTTGGCAATGTCAACACAAACACCAAGTGACTGATATGGTTCAAAGTCGCAATTTCCTGTAGAGCACACAGATTTCTGTGGGGGTGCCGGTACTTCGAAACTTGCAGTATCCGGCATAGTAGCCTTCACTGACGCTTCTCGAGCCACCCTTCTCAGTCTGCGCTCGTCCAGGCTGATTTCATCGATGGTAAAAATCCTGGCCGACTCTCCAGGAGCTGGATCATCTCGTTGACGGTAGTTGATAGCCAATTGAGTTACTGGGGAGGAAAGAATGCTGACGATCATCAAGATAGCGCCAAGAGCGACTGTGTGCTTGAAACGCACCCGAAATAGCATTTTCATAGAACCCGACCAGCCCCTACTTGCCTGATCAAAGACATGAAAATCATGCAAGGGTCTTGATTTCAAGAACCAGGTGAACTTCGATTGGCTCAAAGCAGTCGATACTGGTAGCATGAAGGCTCCTTTAGCCAACGTTGTGAAGAGGGCGATAACTGTGTTAAGCGTGATCTTGGAACGCGAACTTGGCAACGATTGATCGTCATAAATAGCGAGAACGACGATAATAGCTGCAGTGATAAATGATGGTCATTAGACAACGACATTCCCGGATGAATTCTGGATGGCTTGTGCTTAGCCACGCATTTGCTTACCGATCAATAAGGCGATGCTGGCCATGAGGCAAAGGATCTCTTTCCACCAGACTTTCCAGAACGGAGCATACACTATCAGTGACATTGGGTGATGAAGTTCGCTTTTTGAGCCAGCGCTATCGCACAAGGGTTGCTCCGAGCAGACGAGCTGCTCCTGTCTAAGAATAGAGGCGTCTTCGATCACAGCCTCTTGTACCGTGAGGGAAGCTGGCATACTCTCAGCTATCGTCTCTCGCTCAGTTTCGCTATTGCGTGTTGGTGGAAGTGAGTCTCTGGTCTTTTGCTGAGGCTGGACATCGGAGGACATAGTCGAAGGGGATGGCAAGACGTTTGCCTGGTGGGAATCGCTCTCATTGTGGTAAAACGGTTGCGCCGGTATGTCCTGGTGCAAGCTATCTTGACCGGGCGGTTGGATCTGGGGAGCCTCGATGACATCTTCAGGACTTGAGCCTGTATGCTCTTGCTGGTAAGAGTCTTGTTGGTTTCTTAGCTGAAACACTGGTGGGTTTTGACCTGACATTGTACTAGAAAAATGGCAAGAGAAGTTATTCTGTAGCCTCTGAAAATTGAAAAGCAATCAACAAGCTAGGGGGAAACAGGCTCCCTTTTATCTATTAATTACTTCGTTCAGGCTCACTATGATTCCCCAGGTTCAAATCTGTGTGTTACACGTGGAAGCGAGTTTGGGCGCAGCAAAACCGGATCGTAAACCTCCAGCCTACTAGACTGACTTGGAATTGGGTTTCACCGATTACGTGCAAGTGTACAAGAGTAATATCGGATTCACTCTTGTGATGGTATAATATGAAGACGACTCTTGTGCGAATGAGATTCATGCAGGTAGCCTAACCATAGCATCGTTCAAGAGCAACTTACGGGAGTGACCGAGTAACCCCCACAACAAACAAAGTCTACGCCACACCGCTGATCTATCACGGGCTGATTGGAATTTCTCATGATTATGGAGGTGAGTCTTGTACATCATATGGCTGTACGCTGCCTACTGGCGGGACACGAGTGAAGCTGAACTTTGCCTACGAGTAAGGGGGTGACGCTGCACGAATACACATTCCGTACAGCCTCAAAACGCTATGAGTAGTGTGGCATTGACCATGGGCTCAGAGCTGTTTCTCACAGTATGGCTTTAAAGCAAAGTGTTTGAGTGAAGCTACTTTTCGCTCGATCCGAGGTAGATACAGCAGTAAGTAGACGTTGAAGTTGTCCGAGACACACTCTTCATTGTTGGATCCTGCAATGAGAGAGCAGTACGGCCAATGAACATATCCTTCTCAAGGTAGGTACCTTGAGCATCATGACAGCAACCACTCAATATTCAGTCAGCTGCACAGGAGCAACCGATTTGTCCTTCACCACACAAAAGATGGCTTTCGGATGTTTAAGAACCTTAAACCAGGGACGGGCCGCGACCGAGACTTACACACACAGAGCTCGAGAGTTCATATAGTGGTATACTAAATGTTCGAAGTGAGCTCTCGGAATCGGAGCTGTATACCAACTGAATAGTCAACCACTAGAAAGGGATAAAGAAGGAGAAGGGGCGGGAGGATGTGTCCGTTTCGTAACTTTCGGTCTAGTATTGATTTCCCGAGTCATCGCTCAGCCAGGCACTCCGCAGCTCAAAGCTCTTCACGCAGGCTCATCATCCAGATGACTCCCCCACCCGCGACGTGGCCAAGCTATTCAAAGCGAAGCGCGACTTTGTAATCAGACATGGGTAGTCAAATTTAAGGGAAGGAGCTTGATCTTTATTTCACTTACTCGTCGTCATGCGATAGCTGAGATCTGGTGACCGCTGGATTATAGCTCCGTTCCTATGAAGTATATCAACTCATTTTTTTACCCTTCTAAGAGAGTAAGTAACATTCTCCTCTCCGCCGTAGATACACGAGGCACTATTAAGTAAATACCGCGACCGGCAGTTTCGGCAGGATATTAATTAAAGACTACGCATAGCCAGGTCTTAATGCCCCATATGCCACCCTGAAAACCACCTTTCATCCAGTGTATATACCGTCTAGTATACATTAAAGTATAGCAGGGAACATGCACAGGCAGCAGGCTTTCGCTCAACGCTTTTGCTAAGGTGAATGGAGTCCTCAACGTCTCACGCAAGCTTGGCCCCGGTTTCCCTTCAAGATATTCGTGGCCGCAAGCATGGCAAAACATCAGTTAGTATTTGGTCCCAGATATCACTACGCCTGAGCTAGCCGTGTTCAGAGAAGCTACAGAGAGCCGTTTTAAAGGAAGCGGTGCAGGATTCGCTGATGTAGAGGGCTCGCTTCGGAACTCTCTTCCACCTGCGCGTAACGGGAGTAGTAGAGGCAGGTTCTTAATGAGATGCATCGTGATGTGTGCTCGAGTTCTAGGACCTGGCAGAACGAGATTGAGTATGTCATTCTCAGGAGAGAGGGGTATATTGTTCTAATCATCTATTTTTTGGGAGCCGTACTTCATCAACCGGCAAGCAACTTATCATCAGTCTCAAGAACCTTTTCCTGAACACTCTGATCCTCCTTCTCCCCATTCTTCTTCACCACCTCCTCCTCAACCTCCTCCTTTGCCCCCTCCCCATTGCCAGCAGCCTTCAACTTGGCCTTATCCTTCTTACTCAACGACACCGCCCCCTTCGCCATAGCCTCCTTGGGCAAAGGCCGGATAATCGGCTGCACAACCCACCAAGGCCTCTTACACCGCTTCACCGCGCCCCTCGAACTCTCCCCATCCTCCTCCACAACCTCTGCCGCATCGGCCTCCGGACCCAGCACCTCGTCACCCGCAAACATCTCCGCGCCCCGGGCCTCATACTCAATCAACCCCTCGGCAACCTTGCGCTCAACCATGCTCAAGATCCTCTCGTACGCCTCCAAATCGCCCGCCCGGCTCCGCGCCAACAAGTCCCGCACGTCAGTGTGCTTCGATACGAAGTGCCGTAGCAGGTGAAACATGTGCGGCTGCATCGCGGAGTAATTCGGGCTTAGCGCCCGGCTCTTGGCAGATTTGGGCCCGTTGGTCACGTCTCGCCTCCTCTTCTTCCGCTCCGGCTCGTCCTGCTCCGCCTCCGCGCGATCCATCTCCTCCATCCACGCCGTGTCGTCACCGGGTACAAACAACGGACGCCGCGAGGGTGGGTCCTGGCCCGCGGCGTACTTGTGTAGGATATCCATGTACCGCCTCATCACCGCGTCGACGCGGTACCCTCCCTTCCCGTCCTTGCCGCGCCAGTACTCCCTCGTCTCAGTCCCCGGGTCCGGCGGCCGGCTGAAGATGGCGGGGTCACTCAGGTTCCCCTCGGCGCTCATCACGCCATCCGCGCCCGTGGCGTCCAGCGCGCGCTGCAAGTCACTGTGCTGCAGTATATTTCCGTTCGCGAACAGCACCGTCTCGGGCGGCAGCTGGCCCCGCAACCACCGGATGGTCTCCCAGTCCGCCAGGCCCGTCAGATGTCCCTTTTGCTCGCGCAGCCGGCCGTGGACCGTGAGGATGGACGCGCCCGCCGCGAGCACGTTGCGTGCGTACGCCAGCGTCGCGGCCCTAGTGTCAAGGATCCTGATCTTGGCCGTCACGGGTATGGGCAGGTTCTTGTGCAGGGTGTTGATGAGCTTGAAGATGAGGTCCTGATCCTCCTGCAAGAAGGCGCCGTATTTTCCCTTCTTGGCGATGCCTTGCGGGCATCCCAGGTTCAGGTCCACGGCGTCGCAGTAGGGCGCGACCTTGAGGGCGGCGCCGAGGAGGGCGTCGGGGTCGTTTGCGCAGAATTGCACAAACAGAGGTCTGTCAATGGCGGGGTTGCCGTCGAGCCAGGGCTTGGTCGTCGGAGTCGGGTTCGTCGGAGTCGCAGCAGTGCCAGTCGCATCGTTCGAGTCGTCGGGTCTGACCGCCTGGAAATGGCACTGGCGGTAGTTTTCCGTGTCTTTGTACAATCGCGCATGGAACATGGGTGTGTAGGCCACCAGGTTCTTCTGCTCGGACGCTGGGATGAACGACCGGCTCAGCATTCGCCATGCCTATAGAAGGCCGTTAGCAATCCCGCTCCCAGACAGTGCCTCTCCGCACCACGAGCTTTTTGGGGAGAAGAGAAAGAAAAAAAACCTACAAATTCAGATTGATCCACCATGGGTGCGAGAATGTACTTTGGACTTCCGATGCTCTCATAGAATGCCCGTCCGTGTAGCTTCGGTCTGGTCACGGCCGCTGTCGATGCTCCGGCCTCAAGCCCCGCGGTCGGGGCCTCTGTCGTTGTCGCCATGCTTCTCGTCGAGGTCAAGAATCGGGCGAACCGGGTTGTCTGAGACGTCCGGAGCCTCCAGAGCTTGAGAAACCCCTCCAGAATTTCGACTGTAATTGTAGAAAAGAGAAAAAAAATCACTGATGAATAGGGGGTTCAGTTTGACATCGCACGCTCGACCGAATGTCGCCTTGCCGTCGATTGCGAATCTTTCTACTTTGGCTTGTGATGGCAGAAATTTTTGGTTGAGCCTTGCACACTAACAGAGTGCGAGGCTGAGAAACCCCAGATGGGAAACTCTACCTGATTGGGTGGGGTCATTGGGCCCAGTGTTTCCCCCACGCATGGAACCTAAGGAACTGCGAGGGAAGGGGAACTGTCATCTACAGCAAATGACGTCGTCCCGCCGATCAAGGAGAAACGCTCTGCGGAGACGAGTACTTGACACTGCGGCTTCTCAAGGCTCATTTAGCTCTAGCACTGAGACGGTGTGTCAGACCACTCATGACACACGCAACCCAACAAAGGATTACTTGCGTAGGACGGGGCTTTTCACATGCAAACTTTTCACTATGCGCGCTCGCTCTAGTCCGCTCTAAACTATTCAATTCGCTGGAGCGGTCGATACCAGCATCGAGACCTCGCTGAGACTAAGCTGTTCTTTTGGAAGAAAAAAGCCACACTCTATTCCGCCTCCTCATGACCCGACGAACTTTGAAGGCGACGTAACTCGAAGAGAACCGACAGGTAACGAAAAGTCCTTTAAGCCCTTACAAAACAAATATCGAAACACTAAACCTCGATCGAGTGTCAAGTGTGTGTATGTGTGTGAGTGAGTGATGCCATCTTTTCAGAAATCCGCATCTAAGTCGTCAGAGGACTTGGGCCCATCTGATAAAGTGTAAGAGGTCACCGCTATTATCGCCATCATGTCCTCGAGGTCCGTGTGATTGCTGCTCAAATGCAAAGAGGCCATCGGCCCGTAATCTGCACTGACTGGCCTGCTGCAAGGCTGTCCCATCCGGCCGCCGTCTTCGTATACCTCCCGCCCATTGTGAAAAAAGTAAAATAAAAAAAGAATTAATCGACAAAGGGCGGCCGGGCAAGGCTTCTCAGTCAGGCGAGAAAAATGCTGTCGAGTGACGATAGTAAACGCCCTGACACCGTACGATGCTGTTCCTGAACGCCGTCGAATGGTAAATGTAGTTCAAATACATGATTGAGGGTTTGGTGCCCGTCATCAAGAAGCAAAAGTGGTGGGATTCCGTCTTGGA